TGTGTTGAAGTTTATGGAAGAAGGAGAGGCTTGAGGATTCAAGAAGGAGATAGTAGATCCAGAGACTTCCTCTCATCCTCATCAATTTCTGGTAATCAAGTCTCTAACTTGCTTAGTAGTTTCTTAGATTTCCTTATTTTCACTTTATTGGGTTTTTGGTCCAAGGAGCTTGATCTTTGGGATATGGACATCCCAATTGAGTGAACCATCAGATCTGGAATCATTAAGGGTTGTTAGGGCATAGAGGTGCAAACTTTATGCCATTGGAGGCCCCATGCAAGCTTTAAGACGTCATCTTGGCCTTTTATCCCCCAAAAGGCCATGTATGGAGGAAAAGGCAGAAGCTTTACGTGTTCAAATGATGTCTAAGGCCTAGATCTTTGTTTATATGCTTTAGTTTGGAGTATGGATGACTTGTGGAGCAAGATGTAAGTTCTAGAGAGTTAAGGTTTGAGCCAAGCCTGTCAAATGAGGGTATTTATGGGTAAAGTTGGAAACTTTACCCTTAAAAGGACGTTTTCAGTGTGTATGAGAAGCAAGAAGCTTAGAACTGAAGTGAATGGGCTTAATCCTTTAAGATGGCCCAAAAAGATAGAGGAACTCGACGAGTTGAGTCGATTTGTCCCGATTCTATACCAGGTAGAACTCGACGAGTCTAAGGAGGGACTCGACGAGTTGACTCACTTTATCATGACTATGATTGGTAAGGGAACTTGGCGAGTCAGGAGGATGACTCGACAAGTTAAGTTAACTCGGAGTATTGACTTTAACCATGACCAAGCATTAACTTTGACTTTGACTTTGACCAAGTTTGACACGTGAAGGGGTCTTTGGAAAGGAATGATATCTAAGGGATTATTGGATTTTGACTAAGTATTATGTTGGTAATGATAGCTCGGGGAGTCGAGAGATCTGCAGTTCGGGGATCTACCAGCTAGCAGCGAGAGATTTATTCGTGGGATTCTGCAGTCAGCTAGTGAAGTGTGTTTTCTCCTGTAGGAACGGGTCGAAGGCACCAATGTCGGCCCATTTACGTATGTTAGTATGTTCCGAACTAAGGTCTGATGTAAGGGCAAGCCCGAGGAATGTTTGTATGTTTTATGTCTTCGTGATTCCTGCATGTGCTTGTTTTGTATGTTTCCGGACTTTGGTCTGATGTCGTCCGAGGCCTGAAAAATGTGTATATGTATGTTTTTCAAACTACGGTTCGATGTTGGGTGGTACCTGATGAAGAAATGCATGTTTAGTTATACTTCTTGTCTTTATGATACTTTTATGTTCCTGGTAGGGAGGTGAGTGTGGGCGGGGTACCGTATCTCATCATTAGCTGAGTGTAGACGGGATTCCATATCTCCTATTAATAGAGTAGGGGTGGGGCCCATGATAGATAGGGCCTTAAGACTAGAATATATAGTGTTGTGTATGATTCTTTATGTACTAGCATGATTATATGTTATTTTTTTGTATGTGCATAGTGGGTGGGGCCTAGAGACAAGTGGGGCTTGGTAGAAACAAATCTATATACGGAGCGGGGCTCGATGCCAGGTGGGGCCTGATGTCAGACACTGTCCAATGTCGGGCAGGGCCCGAAAAAGGGGTGGGGGCCCATTCTGGTAGCTTTGGGAGATTCACTAAGCTTCGTGCTTACAGTTTTCAATTTTGGTTTTAGGTACTTCCGGTAGCAAGGGGAAGAGTTCGGGATGACTGCAGTGGACACTCCATTTGTTTATCCTGGGATGTTTTTACTCTGATATGTTTTGACAGATGTTTGTGATATTTTGAGATACATGATTTATGATTTTTATGTGATGAATTGTTAGCTATAGTTTTATTAATGATTTAAAATGAAATTTTTGGGCCGTATTTTTGGGATGTTTCATTTATCCATCTAAACATCATACTGATTCAGATCTAAAGGCTGGAGACTTGGACTTAATGGATTAAGTTGAAAAAAATGCACTTTTGGTCCCTTTGAGACTTAAAGACTAAATCTTGGTCTTTTGGACCATTCTAATGAATAAATTTGGAAACTTTATCCATTATGGAGTTATTAGGAGCCATAAAAATGTGGTTTTGGTCCTTCTTTTCCTTCCATGCCTGAGTTGGTGGTCTTCTGATGATGTTAGAGATTTAGGGCTTTGGGTTGGGCACGATTAAGTCATGCAAAGTCATAAAGTCAGGAACTTTATGGCTTAAGACATCCCATAAGAATCAGATCTGGAAGTTATACATGTTGTCTTAAGGCATTAAGAGGTTTGGAGATGAATTTGGGCTTCAGTGTCGTATGCAGGGCGTACTAGGTTTGTACACTGGGCGTATGCACCTGAATGACATTTGGGCAACTTTTGGGCCTTGAGTCATTTTGGGTTTGGGCCTTGCATTGTTGGGCCAAGCATAGGAAGGGTAAAATAGTATTTTACCCATTTTTATGAGAAGATATAAATTGGACCTTGAATTATGAGTAAATTCTCCTAATTATTAATTAAGGATATCTTGGATGTGTTCAGTGTGACGAATCCGATAGCAGTAGCGCGTGTGTGTTTCGGCTATCTGAGATTGAGGTGAGTCTCCTCACTATACTAAGGGGGTCGATGGCATCAATGTCAGCCCATAGGATTATGTTATGTAGAAAGACTAAGTGGTGGAACCTGTCACTATCATGAAAGACCTAGATACGACTCCTGACAAATTATATGCAAGACTAGGGTTTGGACCCTGGCAGTTGTATGTAGGATGCTAGTTGTTTTTTTGATATTTGCATGGAAGACCTAGAGGTGGCTCTTGGCGCTTGTCTATGAGACGCAAGGTTTGGCCTCGGGACTAAAAAGTAAAGATCATGATACGGCTCATGGCATAGTGGCAATTATAAGACTATGGATCTCACATAACAATCTCTATTTATATATATATATATATATATATATATATATATATATATATATATATATATATATATATATATATATATATATATATATCGTATGTGGTATTTTGTGGAACTCACTAAGTTTTGTGCTTACGGTTTTATGTTTACAGTTTAAGGTACTTCTAGTACGAAAGTGTAGGGTTCGAAATATATTGTGAGATGTCGAAGTGTCTTAGGTCATGTCTTGTATTGAAGTCTGTTATGATGTATTCGTTATATGTATTTCATAAGGGCATTTTAGTTTTTGAAACTTCAGTGTCTTAGCCTATATGTTTTTTTTTTGTGCTTCTGTTAACTCCTATAAATAGGGGTATGTATACATATTAGAGTAATTTTGTGAATTGATAGAACACTTTACTCTTTCATATTGTATACTCTCTCAAAAGCAATAAAAGAGCCAAACATATCTTATTTACGTTTTGTGTTCTTAAATCAATTCGTACTCTGATTTCATTCATATACTCGATTCATACGAACTACAGAAAGGGAAGGGCCCGACGTGACTGCACCGCATCCACCAGAGTTTTCCGAATTAGTAATTTTCGATATTTACTCTGATGTTGAAATAATATTATTCACTTTGATCGGTTTTGGAACAACTCATTTGTATGGTTTATCTTCTCGAGCTTTTAAAACTTAGTTTGTAAAAATAAAATTAAATGAATAACTCTTTAGATTTGTTAAAATAAAAATCATGAGATTTTACATGTTTGCAAATGTAGCACGACTTATAATTATATGTTACATTGAGTTGCAGAAACCCGAAGTATACAACAAGTTTCATCATTATATTCTCTTATGTATTATTGCAACACAAAAGTTCCATCCAATGATCCAAAAGTATAATTAACTCTGTCGATTGAAAGATAAGTTTGAGTTCATTTACGACAAATAATGTACAACAATATTCCTTTTGTATGATTGTAATAAACCTTAACTATATAAGTATCTTCCATCCTATATATCAGTTATTCGTAATACATATAAAAAGTGTAAATGCACTTCCATCCAAAATATCACTACATATATGATTCAAAATAAAACATCAAGGATCACGGGACGAATATATTTTTAACGGGATGTCTAATGTCTTTCATGACTTTATAGTCCACACACTTCATGCAAAACGTCTCATATATCTATATTCCATTTTCCCATTCCGTCTTATTGCTTCAAATTCCATAGTGAAGGATTTCACAATTCCTAGTAGTGGTGGATGTTAATGTAATTGAATTATGTCTTTCCTTTCAATTAAAAAGATAAAATTCCCTAATTATTTATGTTATGTTAGAAACAAAGAAGAAAATAAATCACCTATGAAAACACAATATTTAACGTGGTTTAGTCAAATATAACATATATCCACAACCTCCATTCTTATTCACCAGTTGAGTTGTATTATATATATATATATATATATATATATATATATATATATATATATATATATATATATATATATAAAAACTTAGCATTAGTTAGAATAAAATCGGATCCAATTAACAAATATCCGCACCGTAGTAGGTAGTGGGCTCCTACCCCCACCCCGACTCCCAATGACCCCACACACCCTATGAAATAAGTGTTTGTCTTATACAGCTTCAGACCTAACAACCCTAAGCCTACTACAAACACTTATCTCATTGATCTCAGGTTTCATGTTGCTTATTTTGCTTGGACGGGTTGATATGCATTCAGATTGTCAATTCTCAAGTCACATTTGACGTATTAAAACACATACAAATTAGTAAAATTATCTATAAGTGAACCTAATGATTTATGATTATCCGATTCTTGTTATTGGATTCCTTTTCATTTCTACCAACCAAACACAGGTAACAAAAGGTAATTCATCTGTAATCCAATTCCATTAAATTTCTATTATTCGAACATAATTAATCTTAAAGCATCGTAGTTGAAATCTAATAATTGTCAGCTTTAGGATTAAAATCATAATACATAGCTCTTTATGTAGAGTCTCAATCTAATTATAAACATTATTACGAAGTCAAAAAAACATATGTATTTCACATGTGGATGCAACACAATTAGGGTAAATCCTAATGCATATCTTGTTCGTTCTTCATTTCTTTCGTGTTTTTAACAGTGTTTGTTCGGAATCTTAACATCTATGGTTTCATGTAACTGATTAACAAACCGGAACTCTTAATTACAAATGGCACAAACATCAATACTGTAGAAACATTAACAAATCTCAATCCAACAACATAATTCAAGATGCAAGAAAGTCGAAAGATGAAACAAAAAAAAGGCATCATCTTTTTGGAGAGGGGGAGGGTCCAATCCCATCCACATAGGTTCTTGAACGGAGATATGGTGATGGAGCATGGTGCATGATTCATGATTCTGGTGGTCGTGTGATGGGACCATTACAAAAGTGTATAAGAAACAACATGCTTCTAACTGACCTTCTTGCCCCTTCGTTTGCATCTCCATAGTACCCACCGGTCAAATACTTGTTCAGAAAACCATAACCCCACTGTCCTTTTACTCACAAGACTTTGTCCAAGTTAAAAAAAATATTTGTTACCTAACCAATAATACTCCAAGAAATCCTAATGAGTAATGACCACCCCCATGTCCCATCCCCAATAATATCAGTATCAATCTCGATCTCAGTCCAATACACATCAAACAGAATATCATACATTTATACCATCATCATTTTCTCTGTTTATTAATGTTGATTTCTCGTCTAATACACTTCAAACACAGTATCATACATTTATACCATCCATCGTTTTCTCTGTTTCTTAATGTTGGTTTCTCGTGGTGTCACGGGCATAGGGGTAGAAAGTGACAACACTGCGTATTAACAGGGTTCACATTTATATATATGGGGCCAGTGTTGGATGTCAATAATTTGGAAAAAGTTGTTTTGAAGTATCGATGGTGTGTGTGATATTTGGATGGTGACAAATCCGTATTTAAGGTCACAAGTGACACAAATCAAGTACTCACATAAACAAACCGACCAATGGTTATCATCTTGTGTACGTGTTGATAAATTAGAACCTTCTTTCTAAATTTTGGCCTTTTATCATTTGTTGTTTGTAACCATATTTTCTTTTTGTATCAAGTGAAAAATAAAAAAAATAAAATCTTGTTCCAATAGGAGTATTTGAGTTTTATATACAAATTCAAGAAGGAAGCATCTCTTCCAAGTTTCTCATCGTTTCTTGACATTTCAATGCGAACCAATTTTTTTTTTTTTTTTTACATGATTTTCCTACTCGATTATTTTTGTACACCGACAGCAGAAATCTTGAAAAGAGAAAATAGATGAAAAAAATTAAAATCTTAACTTTGATTAAAAAAATAATAATTATAAAGACATTTTTGAGAGAGGTTACCTAGAAAAGTTGGGCTTATACCTTTTGGACTTGCTTATGGACTCCTAAAGCATCAATAATGCTGTCAACCCAACTGCAAAAATGTACTTTCAATATCACTGATGTGAATGAGAAAAGAATTACAGCTTTTTATGTCTTATTGTTTTTACGTGTTTTACTGTGTAAAAGACGTAAATACCCTCGAACTCAAAAGAAAGATTACCCTTGAAGGCCAGGGCTGGATGGGTAGTACACATTTCTCAAGCCCATTCTTTTGGCAGCTGAAGCGGTGGTTTCACCAATGCATGCAACAGAACCATGCCACCTCTCTGACACAGATTCAAGATTCATCCATGCTCTGTTTTCACAACAAAAATTAATCATACAAATGAAAAAATAAAAATAAAATATGAAGATAAAATAATCAGGAAATGAAACTAGAACTTACCTAATTGCAGAAGGTGATGCAACTGCAACAACAGAAGCAGAAAGGGCTTGTTCGAAAATCATTTGGTCCACATGTTGAACAGTTTCCTAATAAAAGAAGTAAAAAAAAATTAATTACTGATTATAAACAGTAAATATAATCGAGTTTAATATATAGTTATATACCGTTGTGTAAGTATTTAATCGTGTGACATGAAATCCACGTTTAGAAAGCCCATTTTCTGAAAGAAAGTAAAATTGTGAAGAAAAAAAAAATTATCAAATAAAATTTAGATATAAAATATACCTAAATCATGACTAGCTTTTTCAGAAGCAGGATATAGAACAGTGCAATTTTCATTCCCATGGTTTGGCAGCTCTGAAGCAAGAACCTTCCCAGTTGCTGTAAAAGTTCAAAAAACTAAACATTGATTCTTGTACAATGGAATGGAATGGAATGATTCATTAGATTTCATAATCATGTTTGGTTGGGTAATGGAATGGAATGGACCATTCCATTCCTTTTCCCGAATCCATTGTATCAAAAACTACCTTTTGATGGAACAAATGCAACATCAATGGATTGAGCTTCATCAAATATGCTTGCTGTACCAGTTCCAACCACAGCTATCTTCACACTTGGGGAACCAGCACCTCTAGGAATCATAAAGAGTAGAAAGTTATAAAGATTTGCATTGAAATGTTATGTAGAAGGAAATGTAGGGTACTATTATTATATGGAGGAAAGTTGTGTGCATACTTCCAGGCATCAAGAAAGACAAGAGCTGCTTCAGGTGAAGTGATGATGATCCAATCAAAAGTAGTTTCTGCCAACATAAAAGTGCAAGAAAGAGAAAGAATTAAACCCTAGATAACATACTTGAAAGTTGAAACTACAAGTAGAATCATAAGAAGAGGAAGTTAGTCAAGTTACCATTTAATAGAGCAGAAACTCTGTCCAGATCAGGTAAATGTTTATGCTGAATTAGGGGAAGCTCCAAACAATTGATCCCATGTGGTGCCTGTTTAAATAGAAATTACATATAACATCCAAAACCATAAGAAATATTACAAATTTTATGTTGTAGCAGTTTCCATTTCATGACAAATTCATCGTAACATGGTAATAATTTATAATCGTCATATCCAAAATCTCACTGTGTTTTTAGGGCTTGTGTTCCTCTATCATAGTGGAGTATCCAGATTTTGCATATATTATATATACATGTAACTGTGACGATAGATTTGTTAAACTTGCACATAACAGGTTTCTCCAATTGTAAACCATATAATTCAAACACCAATAAGTCTCGAATTGCAATCCTTATCTCATTAACAAAGTTTTTGACTATTAGTCAAATACTAAGAATTGCAGTAGTTGATTACGAAACAATGTAATCTTGTATGTCATAATGAACGACATCAATTATTTGTAATGACTACAACCGGTAAATGATTAGTTTTAACTTGAAATTTTAGTAATATGTAGAAAGGAACGTAATCGATTGGGGAGGGAAGCAAAAAACACAAATTAGAAAAACTACAGTATTATGTCTTGCATTTGATCGAACACCTACCCGACAATAATTTGTGAATACTAAACCATTAAAGTATATTAACCTAATGATAAATAAGAACGATATATAGTTTATACATGTTAAACATCAACAATCGCAAAAACCTAAATAGTAAACAGCTTATGGCAATGCGCGTAATCAAACCAAAATAAAAGCAGAGCAGCAGAAAGAGTAAAAACATAAAGTCTCAAAGAAAAGGAAATTACTAGAGCTTTCATGAGCTTATCATTTTTACCACGCTCCCGTGTAACAACAACTCGATGATTCGAAAAAGAAGTCGTCGGCGAAGAAGGGGAGGAAGAAGAAGCTGTAACATTGAACGACTGAAAATGAATGCTCCGGCGGTGAGGAAACTGTAGATGAGGAGAGAGTGCGGTGGAGAGAGAAACCCGATATAAAGTCATGGCGGTTGTTGGGGAACGTATTGATTGACTTTAATTTTCCGAATAGCCAGCTGTTGATAAATCAAGCAATGCTTTCCTTTCTGGTACAATACCCTTTTTCCAAAATTTCCTTCTAGCTCCCTTGTCTATAATAAATTTGTTTAATTTCCCCTTGTATTTTTCTTTGTCTAACTAGCACCCTTCAAGTTTTTAATCCACCGGATCAAATCACAAAAAGTTTTGGCTCCTTGAATATGCCAGTAATCTTTGGTCATCGATTATTATATATAACTAGAGTGGTATTCCTTCCGCTTTGCAAGGAACCAAATATATAACATACAAAAGTTTATGAACCAAACATATCAATATACAAAAGTCTTGCTGTCAAAGTTTAAAAACCAAAATATCTAGGGACTAAACCTATCAATATATGAAAGTATAAGAACCAGACTTGCTAATATACAGACATCTTGTGACCAACTTATGAAACCCAAAAAATCCAGGACAAAATCTGCTAATATATGAAAATTTTGTTGCGAACATACAAAAATATTGTGCCGAAAGTCTTTTGACCCAAAAACAATTGATGCAAAACTCTGAAGCATAAAAGTGTACTACTATTGCTAAGATTTGGTTTTAATATATACTAGAAGATACTATACTCATTTCCAGTTTCGTGGGGAACGCAAACGTGTTTGTCCATTATTGATAGATGTTTGGTTCTTCATACTATTGTTTTATGATTACATGACTTACTTAATGAAAATCTATTACATGTGATCAAAGTTATGTGGAAAAGTAAAGAAATTTTAATGTATAATGTACATAAAAAGAAGTAAGTACGATTTTTTAAGTCAACGAACGAAAGTTCAAATAATAAAAAACACATTATATGTGATCCGACTCATACGTAGAAAATATACATAAAAAGAAACAAAAAAACGTTCAAACATAAACAAACTCGAATTTATATATTGCAAGGCTAGAAGTTGTCATTTTACAAAATAGATGGTGCAAATTATTAGGGGAAACATTCGTTCTCGAGTTCAAATTAACGAGAGAAGTGAAAGAAAATTGATGGAAATGAGAAGAATTTTTTTTTTTTTTGATGTTCTCGAGTTTCATTAAATGAGAGAAGTGGAAGGAAGTGTAAGTAAATAGGAGGATCACTTTCCCTCCTAATTTTCCTTTCGATTTGAGAGGATTTGGAAAGAAAAAACAAAATGATTCATTTTCCTTCCACTTCTCTCCAACTCGAGAACACAAAAGAAAATTTTATTTTCCGTTCTTTTCTCCTTTTTTCTCTCATGACTTTCTTTTCCCTTCTCTTATTTTCTTTTATTAAACTCGGGAACGAGATGTTCCTTTTAATATATATATTAAACTACCCTGATTTTCGGGGCGTAATTAGTTATTTTTCTATTAGGTAGAGATAATTTTTGTATTTTTTTTAAACATATGGACAATTTATGTAATTTTTTAATTCTTTATTATACGATGATTACTTTTGTAACATTTTTAAACATGTGAATTATTTCTGTAAAATAAAATTACACATGATATTTTTGTAATTATAGCGATAATTTTTGTAATTTATTTTCTGGGACAAAACCTATTAATATTTAAAATTTTATGATTAAAATATAAAAAATAAAAAGTTTGAAGCCAAAATCCTAAAGTAAAAAAGTTTATTATTCATTAAGCATTTGCTTTTTTATAATATAAAATAATAGTAATTGGGATTTATATGAGATCAAATACATTTTGAGCCAATCTCAATACAAATTATGTGGTACGATGTATACATTTGAATAAGCTAATTTGATTTTGTATGCAACAATAAATTGGGTTAAGGGATTTGTGTTTAGGAATATCAACGAGACCGAACAGGGGCGAAAGAAATTTCCCTTGCCCACACCCCTTAATTCTCTTGTTTCCGCAACCCCGACGCTGAATTCCCCCATTCCTTTCACCTAATCCTACATTTGAATTTCAATATCACCCCCGCTCTTGCATTCCATTATGTGACATCTTCAAATCCACGATCATTTTAAAACTTTTATTTATGCTTATTTAGAAACATAGTTTATTTATGATTGTGGAATTTGGTCCTGTAAAAGTATTTTTGAAGCAATATTTTTCACTGATTTATAAAAGGCTTAAGATGTTATAACTGATACAAAACATAAACATATAAACATGTCTTATAGTATATTGAACGCCCCGGAATTCAACCCCCGGAATTCAACCCAAAATTTTCACTTAAAATAAATTAAGTAATTATTTAATTTCACAATTTACGAAAAACTTAGATAAACTATTTAACTCAAAACATTTATTAGAGTGTCATCAAAAGTTATCATGTGCACAAATCTCCCATGGATGCGATGCAATCAAGTCGTGCTTTTCCTTTAATATGAGAAAACATTAAAACATTTAAACCACAAACCGAAGTATAAAGCATAGTGAGTTTTCCCCACGATATCACGTACAACACATCACAAATAAACAACCATGAGTTATCAGCAACCTTGGAGACTACCCGAAGTCTCAGTAGGAAAACAACATGACCTATGGGTTATCAGCAACCCTGGAGATTACCCGATGTCTCGGTGGGCAAACAACACGCCTTGTGGGTTATCAGCAACCTTGGAGACTATCTGAAGTCCCAACACATAGTAACACATCACAACAACAACAAATAAGACACAGTTGGTCAACACGTATATAGTACTACACATGCAAGTATAGTGAGAAGGGTCACCTCGCATAGAATAATGATAGAACTCACACCCGAACTGCCGAAACTAGATTTCACCTATTAATCGCATCAAATAACCCTAATTAACAATTAAGATAATTTTTTCGTACTCAATTGATCCCAAGCCAAGTCTAATCCGTAATTTGGGCAAAATACCATTTTGCCCCTTTCAAGACCAAAACCCTCACGAGTTGACCAAAAGGTACATGTAACACCCCAAAATTCAAGATCAAAAATTTTATTTTTAAATAAGTAACTATAAAACCACTAGTCTGAAAAACATCCATAGTGTCAAACCATATCAAAACCAATATATCAATAGTCAAAACATGTCATAGTATAACAACATCAGAGTATAACTCCCAAAGATCTCATGTGCGAAAATCATGGTGTGATGTGTTGCGATCATGTCAGATCCTTTCCTTTCAAAGAAGAAGTACCTAAAACCAAAACTGAAAACCATAACCACGAAGCTTATTAAGTTCCCCCGTCATACCACATACCATACAACAAATACATTGCTAAACATATCTGGGTCCCGGGCCTCCCATTCGGTCAATCTCAATCGGATACTGCTAAGCATATCTGGGTGTTGGCCTCCCTTTCGGTCTATATCAACCGGATACTGCTGAGCATATCTGGGTGCTGGCCTCCCCTCCGGTCTATTTCAACTGGATACTGTCGAGCATATCTGGGTGTTGGCCTCACCTTCGGTTAGGGGTAGAAATTATTCGATCCGGAACCGAAAAACCCGAAAACCAAATCGAACCGAAATCAATTTCAGACCGAACTATATTCAAATCCGGTTTTTGGTTTGGTGCGAGACCAAACCGAATTGTGAATTTGGTTTTTGGTTCGAGTTTCGCTACCATGAAGTTTAAACCATACCGAACCGAAAAAACCGAATTTCATAAATTAATTAATCAAAAAATATATTTTATATTTTATATTAAATAAAAGAATTAATTATAAAGTAAAAATCATTTTAACTCATTTACTCTTTGGATCATTTTGAACAAAAATTTAGATTTTCTTTTTGCAACTTTAGGTTTCTATGTAAAAGAAACTTTAATTTATGTTTGAAAATTTTTTAAATTTATATTTGGTTTCCTCGGTTTTAAAACCGAACAAAACTGAATTAGAATTTGGTTTTCGGTTTGGTCTAGAGAACTTGAATTCGATTTGGTTCAGTTTTCGAATTGGGCCAAAAAAATGTCAACCCGAGGAAACCAATTCAAAGAAACTGAAAAACCAAAAAACGGAACCGATTCCCACCCCTGCCTTCGGTCTATTTCAACCAGATATTGTTGGATTAGGTGTCTAAGCCCATAAATATAATTTGTATGTACTTGACCCGAGAGTAGCATGGTCCATTTTGGCTGCCTTCACCAGAGCAATTTGATAGGACGGACTTTTGAGAAGAGGTTATTTATGATTTATTAACATGTTATAAGTTCTAATATATTAATATGAAATCATGTTATTTAATGAGTATTGATTAAGATTTAATTTAGTGATCAAAAGAGATTAATTAGATTAATGGGGACTAATTGTGTAAATTAGTTATATATATTGTTTGGGCTTATGGTACATGATGTACTAAGTTTATGAAAGAATCCATAAAGAGTTAGTCCATATGGATAATGGATCATGGATAATAAGCCCAAGAGTCTGGATTAGGGTTTAACCATAACTCTTACAATCCTACAATATATTATATATATATATATATATATATATATATATATATATATATATCACGTTATAGCTAAAATCGGTTAACCTAGTGTGTTCTTGGAGTTCCCATAACCGATTTTGAGTGCATAGAATCTCTCTCTGAAGTCCTCCTTTGTTCATGGTGTTTGTGAACCATTTGAGGTGCTAAGTTCTTAAATGCCAAAACTACAAGCTACAACAAGAGGTAATTCTATAACTTATTTTTATGTTGTTTATGTCAATTGTATGCTAGTTGTAGGCTTTATGCTTTAGAAACAATATTGCATGTATAATTAGAGAAAATATAGATCCAAAGCATTTAGGGTTGTATGCACACCATAGGATGTTGTAGTATACAAAACTCATCAGTGGTATCAGAGCCTAGGATTGTTTTCTGTTATATTTGATGCATGGCTTAATTTTTAAAGTTGAAAAAATTGATTTTTTAGCCTCTAATTGATGAACTCACCGAGTCCACTGGCTGACTCGACGAGTCCACTCAGTATAAGGTCAACTCGGCGAATCATGTTCATGCATTCGACGAGTTGATGCTTCTGATGGTAGATTTTCGGGATTTTTTTGGCATATTTTGGAATAGGAT